GATGCTGTCCTTTGCTGTACAGAAATATTGTGGCTTCATGAGGTTGTATTTGCTAGGTTTTGGTTCTGTTGCCTCTGTTACTGGTTTCTGGTTTAAAAAGTCGTTGCCTGTAACAATGAGTTCAAGCCTTTTTTGGTATTGTCTTCCATCTGAATAAGTATGGTCTTACATCGAAGTCCTTGAAATATTTGGAGTTGAAGTGTATGCAGGGTCATAATAATTTCTAAGTGCAGCCATCCAGTTTGATATGAACAACTTATTGAAGATGCTGTAGTCACATAGATTCTTCAAACACCACAAGCTATGAACAAGGCCATTGGCCACACTCCACAACCTAAGAGGAAGGCCCTATTGCTTTTGAAACCACTTATTAATTCATCAAACATAGAAGAGTCGTATTGTGACCAAACTAGAGACCTCACATATGCCATCTAATGTTCATGAGCTGAAAAGTACACTTCAACCTACCCTGTGACCTACAACAGTGACCTGCCTGCAAGATATGCTGGCCCCATAGTAACACAGATTTTATGGGTGTAAGGAATCACCTTTTGATTGGATCTAAGGACTGCAGGAGATGGAATACAAACCTGATACTGTTAAAGAGACCAAGAATGTATAAACTATGGGCAAATCTAACACTGTTGTGCTAAAGGAATATAGGAAGTGACTGAGGCCCAAAGACATGTCACTAGAACTATAGATCAGTGCTTTTCCCATTCCTTATCAGAGAACTTTTCTCTTGCAGTAGTAGGAAATGAGCACAGAGGCCAACAACTGGTCCATGTACAGAGAGTGAGAGACTTTGGAGCACCTAGTCATGAATTTGGTGTCTTCTGCCAACCTGCCCCTTCAAGGCTCCAGTTTTATGCAGAAAGGGAAGTACAATGAGTAGAAGATCCAGTCGTTTTGGATAAGGTCAAGGAAACAGTGTCTCCCAGGAACAACAGGACCAAGACCAATGCTCATATGAGCTCAGAGACTGTGTCAGTACACAGATGATCTGCAGAGTTTCTAATCAGACAAGGCCCCAGCACTGAGAGGTGGTAGAGGACACAGACTACTACTCATAACCAGGACACTCTTTGTATATGATAGCAGTGGGCAACAGAAAAATCACTTTTCCATTTGGAGAACTCTGGGTATAACAACGACCCTCCAGGGTAGACACTATGAACAGGAGTAGTTGGTCAACACAAAGTAAACAATTTTGTGGTGGTTTGGGGGGGCTGTTGTCCTATTGGTTGTGAGTGTGTATCTTCAGTTTTGGGGTAGATTTACAAGAGAATGTTTAAAAACTTGGGTGGATAGGATATAGGGAAGAATCTAGGAGGCTTTGGGTTGGGAATGTATGATACAAATATAGTGTACATGTAAACTTATAAAATGGAAAAAATAAGCATTTTCAACTAACGTTGCTGGCATAACTGGATCCTGACATGTAGAACACTGCAGATAGATCCATATCTATTACCATGTACAAACTTAAGTCCAAATGGATCAAAGACCTCAACATAAATCCAGCCACACTAAAACTCCTAGAAAAGAAAGTGGGAGTGGTTACCTTTGAACAAATTGGTACACTAGACTACTTCCTGAACATAACACAATAGCAGAGACACTGAGTTCGACAATTAATAAATCCGTCCTCCTGACACTGAGAAGCTTCTGTAAGGTAAAGGACACAGTCAGCAAGACAAAACGGCAGTCCACAGAATGGGATAAGATCTTCAGCAACCCCACATCTGACAGAGCTGATTTCCAAATACACAAAGAATTCAGGAAGCTAGTCACCAAAACACCAAATAATCAAATTAAAGTGTGCAGTACAGAACTAGAGAATTCTCAATAGAGGAATCTAAAATGGCTGGAAGACACTCAAGAAATTGCTTAACATCCTTAGCCTCCAGGGAAATGCAAATCAAAACAACTCTGAGATAACATCTCATAGCTGTCAGAATGACTAAACTTAAAAACACTGACAGTTTATGCTGGAGATGATGTGGATAAAGGGGAACACTCCTCCTTTGCTGGTGGGAGTGCAACCTTCTGCAGCTGCTTTGTAAATTGTTACGGTAGTTTCTCAGGAAAATTGGAATCAGTCTACTTCAAGATCCAGCAGTTCCAATCTTCAGCATTTACCCAAAGGGTGCAAATTCATACAAACAGAACATTTTGTTCAACTATGTTCCTATCAGCATTATTTGTAATAGCCAGAACCTGGAAGCAACCTGGATGCCCCTCAGCTGAAGAATGGATAAAGAAAAGGTGGTACATAGACACAATGGAGTACTATTCAGTGGGGGAAAACACAATGAAATCTTGAAATTTGCAGGCAAATAGATGGAACCATTCTGAATGAGGTAACCCCAGCCACAGAAATACAAAAGTGGTATGTACTCATTCATAAATGGACATTAGACATAGAGCAAAAGATTGCTAACCTACCATCCACACATCCAGAGAAGCTAATAAACAAGGGAGACACTAAGAGAGACATATATAATCCCCCGAAGAGGGGAAAATAGACAAGAGCTCCAGAATAAATTGGGAGCGCAGGTGAGTAGTGTGGGGCAAGGTAGGAAGGAGGAACAGGAGGAGAGAAGAGGAAGAGGGAGGAGAACATGAAGGATCAGGAACATTGAGTTGAGGGATGAATAGAGGAGAGAAAGAAAAGAGATACCTTAATAGAGGGAGCCATTATAGCTTTAAAGAGAAATCAGGCACTAGGGATATATTCAAAATTCTACAAGGATTACTCCCAACTAAGAGTCTGGGCAATAGGGGAGGAGCTACCTTAAATGGCCTTCCCCTATAATGAGACAGATGACTACTTTAAATGCCATCCTAGAACCTTCATCCAGTACCTGTTGGAAGCAGAAGCAGAGGTCCACAGCTAAGCACTGAGCCCAACTCCTTGAACTCAGTTGTAGAGAGGGAAGAGTGATGAACAATGTGGTCAAGACCGTTCTAGGGAAACCCACAGAACCGGCTGACCAGAGGAAATGGGAGCTCATGGACCCCAGCCAGGGAGCTGGGAAACCAGCATAGGACCGAACCAGGGACACTGAGCTTGGATGACAGTTAGGAGGCCAGGGCAGTTTATGGGGCCTCTTGCAGTGGAACCAGTATTTATTCCTAATGCATGAATGGACTTTGGTAGCCTATTCCATCATGGAAAGATACTCTCTAAGCCTAAATAAAAAGGGGAGTGCCTAGGCTCTGCCCCAAATAATGCGACAGACTTTGATGGTTCCCCATGGAAGAACTCACTCTCCTTGGGGAGTGGATTGACAGTGTATGAAAAAGGGAGGAGAGGAGAGTTGAGTTCCTTGTTGGTATGGGAGGATGGGAGGGATAGTGAACTGGGATTGATATGTAAACTTAGATTGTTTCTAATTTAAATTAAAAAGATTAAATTAAATTTATTAAGTTAACAACAGAAAATATATGAAAAATTATTTACAATAAAAATTTTTAAAAAGTAAAATATCAAAAGCAGAGGAAATATTTCTTTATGCATTTGAGTTATACATGTTTTTCACCAATTATAGCCGGTTCTAGAAGGAGCCCTTGATAATTTATGATTAATGTAAAATTTCAATTTCATCTTATATTTGCACTCAAAATCTTTAAAAGTAATGTCAAATTCTTTGCATGGATTTTTACATTTCAAGTATTAAAGAAAGTCTACATAAAGGATTCACTGCTCATTTAATGGTCCACAATTACTCTGAGATCCAGGAAGTTAGGTTTCCTTCTTCTGGTCATCCTAGATTCCTTGTGATTATAATTGTGTAGTTTTCCTTCTTTTGATTTTTTTCTATTAAGTCAGCTCTGAGGTTAATAAGTGTAAGGCAAATTCTCAACCACTTAACCACACACCCAGCCCTTCTAGTCTTACTATGATAAACTATACATAAATTATTGAAATTCTAGATACAATTATGGTTTTATTCCTTTCTTCATGCATTTTATGAAGATTGAGACCAGAATGAGTCTTTGAAGAGTTACAAACCCTCCACTGGCATAATGACAATAATGTTTCATGACAGTATCTTTTGAATTAAATCCAACAGTTCATATGACATTAATATGGAGTGATCAAACCTATTGTTATGGTATTTAGAGAAAAGGGAATCTATGTGAATTTTAAATTGTCTTTCCAAGCTCACGCTGATGCTTAAAAAATGGTCAGAATATAATTGTAGAAGGACATCTGCTCTATTATTGCAGATAACAAAAAGGACCTGGAACCTTACAGTCATCAAATAAATGTTCTGATGCTTCCTTTGAAATTGATGCTTGTTATGCACTTATGATGCCCTTTGTCTTTGATGTGGAAGAGTTTATGATTTTATTGAATAATTATATTCTTTATAGAAGCAAAGATTAATTGATTGGTTCTTAATTTTGTACAACTATTTACTTTATCTCTAAAATTTTGTCAAAAGTATTCTTCCTTTGTTTTCTGAATATATTTTCTCTATCTCTAAAATTCCGGCAAAACTGTTTTTGCTTTTGCATCCTTCTTTTCTTAAACAATACTGATTCTAAGATATTTAAGTTTTTCTCCACATTCCATAGTCTGTATTTCATGACCAATTCATATGTCTTATTCTCATACTAAATTGATTTGTCCAAGAATTATTTTTCAAATCAAGATCTTTGTTGTAGCATAGACACTTGGAATTATTACTTAAATATGTTTTTTAAATGTGATTCTGGTTTAATGAGTAATGAAACTTTCATTGTATGTGTTTAGTGCCGTCTTGACGTCTGACAACAACCATTTTTTCTATTTCTGCTTCCAGGCTTGGTTTTTTTTAAATGTGATGATATGAGTGGAACAGATAGATTGTTCAAAAGAGCATGCAAAAAGTTTACATATGACAATATTCTGATTTTAAATATTCTGTTCATTTACATTTAATTGAATTCAAAATAGGGAATTCAGCTATGTTCTCACTATTTTGTTTCATTATTGTTATGAATTTTAGCAAGATATTCCTGAGAATACTCTGGAAAATAGTGCAGATGACTTACCAACAGCTTCCACAGAATATGAAGATATAGAAGCACAGGAAGGTAATGCAGAGGCATAACTTGTGAGATCATTGGACAGAGGTTTGCTTAACACATGGCAACAGATACCTTAGCCGAATAAAATAACCTACTTAATTCATCTCAATTCAAACATAAATAAAAATGCAATGCTAGGCCAGACCAACTTTCATGCAAAGGTTGAAATAAATATGTCAGTAAAAGAGTTGCCTTTGATTTTATTTCATTAAGTTTTTGATAAAATCATGCTTATCTACTGTCTTTATTTATTGCATTTTTACCCTTCCAACTATTCCTCCAACACTTCCTGTGCCAGAGTCCTCCTTAGCCAGTCTGTTTATGACTTCTATAGTATTGGTAAATGTGTGCTTGCCTGCGCGTGTATGTGTGTGTGTGTGTGTGTGTGTGTGTGTGTGTGTATGTGTGTGCATGTGTGTGTATGTTTGTTAGAGTTGCTTATATGCCCACATGTTTAAGACTGACACCAGAAATCATACAGCCTATTATAGAGGTCATCTCTGGAAAATCAACTGATTTGTCTTTAGAAGCCACTGATTGCCTACAGATCTCCATCTAGGAGTTGGGCAGTATGAGATATCCTTCATCCATAGTAGTATGTCACCTGCGGTTGTCCTCATTCAGGTGTTTTTTTTTAAGAAATCATACTTTTCAAATATCATGGTGGCAACAGCCAAGTCATGTTTAGAAAATGCTGTGTAGCTTCAAGAGCCCCAGTACACTGAGTTTACAATCTGTCTGCCCACACTTACTACTTTCTGTGGTACTTAGCTTTAGAGCTATATAAGTGGGCCATGGGCACATTATGGTCCCTCTATGCATTTCTAATTGTAGATATTGGTTATACCTCTATGTGCTGCATAAATCTACTTTTTTGAGGAAAAATAAGACATACATTTTTTTCTGTGGATGTACCCATGATTATAAGAATCATATTTAGAACACAAGAACTACTTTACTCTTTTAAGAAAATAATGGTCATAGATGAAGGCTAGGTTCTACAATTTCTCCAACTATGGTTAGTTGATTAGGATTCCAGTACCAGGAAGGAATTGCTCACCGAGTGACCCTTAAAACTAATGAGACGGCTATTGGTTCCTCCAAAACCCAATGGCCACTCTCACACCATGAGCGAAATTTTACTAGGTTCATCAGTATCTTCGTGTGTACCGTGTGCTGGTGGTGGGATTATTGATACATATCTCCCTTTGCACATTGCACAATGTGTTCTCATTCTTTGAGAGCAGGTTTCCATGTCAGTTCTATCTCAGTGCCTCCAAATCATGTGTCAGACATATGTGTCTTCAGCAATAGAGTTTTAAGTAAAATTATTTGGGTCATTTTCAATGAAAAAGAAAACACCAAGTATTTCCCAATCCTTGTTCAGTGTCCTTCATTTATATGTTTGTGAATGAATGTATGTGTGTGTGTGTATGTATGTGTGTGTTTCTGTGTGAGCACCTGAATCATGTTCTACAACCTATGACATCTGAAAAGATAGATGTTTTGTTCATTTTTGAGAGGTGTATTCATTTCTGTTTGAAGTGGTCAAATATCTTGAAATTTGCAACATGTAGTGTCTATACAAATGATATAGTGGTATTTCTAGAACTAGATCATTTATCCAAGGATATAAATGTTCATCTTCAAAGTATATTTAATTGAAACCCTTATAAGAGTAATTTTTTCTAAATTCCAATTATGAGTGAATTTCAACCTACTGTCCTAGAACATTGTGTTTCTAATAGCTGTGTTTATTTTTAAAATAAAATGTTTAGATTTGTCAGAAGAACTAGAGTTAGAAACCATACCAGATTTAAAACTGGAAGATGAAGATGCTTCTGACAAGAATGAAGGATATCAAAACTTGGTATGTAAATGTTTCAATTTACATTTCTTACTTAATATTAACTGTTTGGTTTAATGACCTTCCCATAGGACAAAGAAAAGTACATTTCAGACTACTATATGCCACCAGTAGATGATAACTGAATGTTAAAATGAAAGACTTTCACCTACTATAAGTCACACATATTCTTAGACTCCAGTCACACAGCTAAACATTTTATTTTGGTGTTCAGCAAATAATTACATGATTAGGATCTTCGGTCTCTATGAAGTTCTTTACATGGATGCAGAGACTCCTGGCTCTCCATTTGAAAAAGAGGATATAGAATTGAGGAGTTCAGAAATGGATTCATTTCATAAAGCTGATACTCATCCTGCAGACACTAAATATGGGATGCGATGATAATACTCACTCATCCAAGTTTCAATTTTTTCCTCATGGTCACCAGATTATTTCAAAGTCCTCATTTGAGCAGAAAATTTGGTCATGTAATCACCTAAACTGCCAATAAAAAGAACTTTTTAATTCCAGGAAGAAGTCTTAATTATGAAGAAGCAGCTTAAATAATTTCTCAATTCAATGAAGAAAATCAATTATTTCCCCATTCTTTTCCAAAGTCCCTAATGGATATATGTATTGGGAATGTGTCAATGTAGGGAATTCACACAGATTCATGATACTATAGGTTTTCCTTTTCCACAGTCTGTTCAGAGACACAACACCATTTCATTTACTCCATGAATTGTCAGGACAGTCTGAAGTCATTTGTAGTGTTTAAACTTACACCAATTTCTATAGTGAATATCTATTGTATCTTGAGAAATTAAGCATTGAGTATTCCAGAATGGAACCTATGCTATAGTAAAAAACAAAACAAGTAAAAAGCAAATATTTTCAGTCTAATATATGTCTTTTGTTGTAAAGAAAACATGTGGTAGTTGGGGGTATTTGGGGAATATTTTCATTAATACAGGATAGGAGTGACAATGGCATTTGATATTCAGAGATCAAAGTCTGAAGGTTGACTTCTTTAAAAGACAAGTGTGTATCCACTCAGTGACTGTCAAATAGCATGACATTACTAAACATATGGAGTTGTGGACAACATCATAACTTGGAAAATTCTTGAATGTTCAGACAGTAAGATTTGGTTATTCTAGTAAAAATGTAAAAGAAAAGGTATAATGTTGGGAAGATTTCTGTTCCCTGAGATTTATTTGCATATCAAAACTATTATTATTCTAATGTTATTATTTAATTAGGAATAACAATCTTGCCTTCTTTATAATTTTAATCCAGTATTTACCTCCTGTGAAGAATTAAAATATATGTCAGTTCTTTTAGTTCATTTTTATTGAAGTTGAGCACCTTCAGCCATGTTCCTTTCATAACAAATATGATACAATACAAATACAATTCATTGATACATAATTCCTATGGAAACAAACCAACAGATAGTGTCATTGTATAATACTTCCAGGATTCATTTTAATATTGGACTAGATGAATGACTCTACCAACGAATTATGAACATTTATGTCATTAACATCCTCCATATTTACTAAAAAGTACAAATTAGTTTTTTTGTATTGCAATATAAAATCATTAGCTGTATTGATATATGCACATCAGGTATTACTCTGTCTGTGGATACAGATGCTCTGTACTATATTTTGTGGAGATTTTTTTGATGTAACAAAGCATGCCTGAAGATGAGAATACAGAGCTAAGTCACTAGTTATCCACAGAGGCCAGGTAGTGATGACACACACCTGTAATCTCAGCACTTGGGAGACAGAGGCAGAGGGATATCTATGAGTTCAAGGCCAGCCTGTGCTACATAAGATTGACTCACTCTAAAAGAGGGATAGAGCTCACATCCTTGATCCCAGCAATTGGGATCATAAACATTTAATCCCAGAACTAGGGATAAAGAGACAGGAGTGATATGGCTGGACAGACAGTAGAATATGAGGCAGGGAGAGACACGATCTCAGAGGATTCAGTCTTACGTTTCATAAGAGACAGCATTTAGTCTGAGGATTTGTAGACACAGTAACTTGCCCTCGTCAGGCAGAGGATTTGGTAGAAGTAAGAACTAGTAGCTGGCTGCTCTGCTTCTCTGATCTTTCAACACTATCCCCTCTATCTGACTCTATGCTTTTATTATTAAGACCAATTAGAATTCCCACTACAGTATTTCTCATCTCTAAATGGCTGCCATGAGAAATGAAAGACAGACTTAAATCTGACTGTGTCTGTCAGGTTCCCCATTCAAATATCATGGGCCTTGATAGATACTGCTTGTATTCTCATGAACAATTTTCATAAAGCCAGATATCACAGTATGTTCAGAGATAGACAAGAAGACCTTTATGATATACATTATTTGTATCAATTGACAGAGTATCTTTTCCCATAATCCACTGCAGGAATCTTCCAGAACACCTGACCATACTTCCAGCATAGGAAATGATGCAGAAATAAATGAGATGAATCAAGGTAAGTGTTGTCATGAAGCGATTTTATGTAACACAAAATGCTGGTGTGTTATACTAGGCAAAGAAATCACTCAGCACATTTATACTTACAGCAGTGATAGAGGTAATAAGACCCATATGTTTATAAAATGTAAGCAATGTGTAAAATTGACATAGTCACAGAATGATCTATGAGTTCTCTTCTACTTGGGATATTTAGGGTAATTCATTTGTCCTCTGTGAACATTGACTCAACTATGCAAAACTGAAGGTTTTGTTCAGTGGAATCTCTTAGTTGGAGAATCCATTTGGATTTATTTTATATACATTAATATTTAGGAAGCTTCTACAGTAGTATGTTTCCATGTGAGTTTTCAAGTGGACTTTAGTAAATTGCCCTTCCCATTTAATCCTCAACGTGTCTGTCTATTGGTATATATTCTACTTCCCTTTGGTGGAGTGAGCCTATCTAGTAGTCCCTTCCTGATGCACAGTCTCTGTGGTTTTATGTAGTTTGGCATACTTGTTGAAGGCTTAAATGCTAACACCACACAGAAGGGAGTATATGGAATATTTCATTGTGGATCTGGGTCTCCTCGCTCACCATGGTGTTTTCTTTAGTTTCATACATTTATATGTAAACTTCATAGTTTCCTTTTGTGATAAAGGCAAAATCATGGAAATGTACCACATTTACATTATATGTTCATCAGTTAAAGGACATCTAGGCTCCTTCCTGAATCTGACTGTCTTTTTTTTTTTTTTTTTTGGTTTTACGAGACAGGGTTTCTCTGTATTGTTTTGGAGGCTGTCTGTCCAGCCTGGCCTCGAACTCACAGAGATCCGCCTGCCTCTGCCTCCCGAGGGCTGGGATTAAAGGCGTGCGTCACCACTGCCTGGCTGAATCTGACTGTCTTAACTAGATCAATAATGAACATTTATGAGCAGGTATTCATGTATCAGCAGATAGAATCTTTTGGGTGTATGCTGGATAGATGTATAGGTGGACTTCCAGCTTCCAGAGAAACTCCCAAATTGATTTCCATAATGGATGTACAGTTTTGCATGTTCACCTGTGAAGAATAAGTTTTCCATTTTCACCACATCCTTGCAAGCATGAAGAGTCACTTGCTTAATGGATCTTAGACCTTCACACAGGGGTAAAACGAAATCTCCAAGTAGTTTTGTTTGAATTCCTCTGAGGAGTAAGGTTGTTGGTCACTACTTTAACAGATTCTCACCCATGTGTGTCTCATATTTTAAAAATTCTCTTTGAATTCATCTGTACCAATTATATTTGGTTATTTGCTTTCTGGGATTTCAATTTTTCTTATTTACATATTTCAGATACTAACTGTATGTTAGATGTTTAATTGCTAGCATCATTTTCCCTTTCTGTAATCTGACACTTTTCCCAACTGATGGTGTCCTTTGCCATAAAGAATTTTTTTGTTTCATGTGGTCCCATGTATTAAATGTGGGTCTTAGGGCTGTGCTACAGATGCCTTCTTCAGAAAGCCTTTCCCTGTACCAGTGAGCACAAGCCTATTCCACATGTTCTATTCTGTCATATGCAAGGTCTCTTGTCTTAGTTTGATAACTTGATCCACTTAAGTTTTGCTCAGGTAAATAAATACAGACCTATGTGCATTCTTCTCCTAGCCTTCAAATGGAGGCACCACCATGTGTGGGAGAAATGTTTCCCAGTATATGTTTCTGGATTCCTTGTCAAAAATTACCTGTCCATTGGACTTGTGTGGACTTACATCAGATCTTCAATTTGATTTAATTGATCAACATGTCTACATTGATGATGAACCATGTTGTCCTTATTATGCTATCTCTGTAAAAAAAACATGCAATCTGGGACAATGATTTATGATACTTCTTTTAGTATTGAGGATTTTTTTCGATATGAAGCTAAAGTCTTTTCAATGCTGTTGTGGTTGTGTTTCCAACTTTTCATACAAGTCATTTTGGAATTTTGATGTGGATTACAGTGACTTGGTATATTGCTTTCAGTATGTTTCAGTATATTTCTGTCAGCTGCTGTCCTACCCAGGAAAATAATAGCTGTTTAATTTGGAGAGAAAGTAATGAGACCTAATGGCTATGCAAATCCTTCATAGTCGTAGTTGAGGACTTGTCATATTCATTAGATTGATGATATATTCTTTCTCTTTCAGTTTGGGCCATAAAATGTCAACACCCAGAGGTAAATACATTTTAATATTTCCATTGAATAATTACATGTTGACTGAGGTCCATATATTGACTAAATATCTCATTTCAAATTCTATTCAGCTGAGGGATAATTCTCATCCAATCTGCAAACTGGAGTCTGAACCACAGCAATCTCAAGAAGGTAAATTCCTCAAGTCACACATTCATTAACATATTTCCAGTACACACAAACTTCTTAATACCAATTATATCTTGATTGAAATTACAGTGCTTTGTAATAAGCAATACCAATGTACTACTGGCATACCCGGTTGAAAACCTTCAAAATGACAATGTAAAATGAAATATTTATTAATTTAATGTCAGCTTTAGAGTTTAATACTCATGTTTGGATGCCTTAGTCTTTCCAGTATGCAATCATCCTGCTTATTACTGTCTTATGGAAGTCAATCATGAGACTTCTCCAATGTCTGAACATCATTTCTTGATATCCAGTTCTCTGAAAACACACTTATGTTCAAAGGTGCCAGAAAGGTCAAAGTCGAAACATACTGAACTCAGAGATTCTTTTCTGGCCTGGACACACAACAATATACCACGTCCTCAGAAATGAAAATCAGTTTTTGTCTTGTTGTAGAACACAATTTACATTGCTTATCTTCATCTGTAGTACATTGCAATTTGTTTACAAAGAACAGGAATGGTATTTATAATCATATCTATAGGATATATCAGTGACACTGCACAAACTATTATATAGTTGAGCTGTCATTGTAAATCCCATAACTTATATGCATATTTTCCCATAAAGAAACTTTCAGCTTCATGTGGTCCCGTTTCATAAATGTTCATCTTAGTACCTGTCTAACAGTTGTCCTCTTCAGAAAATGTTTTCCTGTACCAATGAGTTCCAGCCTATTCCACACTGTCTCTTCTGTCATATCCTGGGTCTATGGTCTCATTTTGTGGTCCTTGATCCATTTGGAATTAAACTTTTTCAGGGTGAAAAATACAGGCCTATATACATTCTTCTTCATGCAGCCATCAAGGCTGATCAGCACCATCTACAGAAGCTGTGTTTTTTTCTTCCTATGTGACCCATCTAGTAATATCATGGTTGTTCATTTTGGGAGAATGTAATAAGAACTCAATGCCATGTAAAGCATTCATAGTGGTAATTTTGGAGTTGTCATTGTGCCTGAGATTGGCTATTTGTTCTTTCTCTTTCAGTTTGGGCCATAAAATGTCCACACCCAGAGGTAAATGCCTTTCAGTAGTTACATTGAATAATTATGTGTTGATTAAAGCACACACATTGATTAACTATTGCATTTCAATATCCATACAGCTGAGGGATTATTCTCATTCAATCCACAAACTTGAGTGTCAACCACAGCAATCTCAAGCAGGTAAATGTCCTAAGTCACTGTTTTCTGATCAATGCATTTTAATACATTTCAAATGCACACAGTCTTTCAGATGCCAATTATAACTTTTTTTTTTGGGTTTTCGGAGACAAGGTTTCTCTGTATTGTTCTGGAGGCTATTGGTCCAGCCCAGCCTCAAACTCACAGAGATCCGCCTGCCTCTGCCTCCCAAGTGCTGGGATTAAAGGCGTGCGCCACCACCGCCTGGTGCCAATTATAACTTTATCATCATGACAATAGAGTTTTACATCAGCAATGCTCTCTCACAAGTGGCGTAAATGCTCAAAAATATTTGCCAGCACAATATGGATTATTTGTAAATGTAAGCACCTTTGTACTCAGCTTCAATCAAATTAACCTTTCAAGGCTGAAATCTGCTTGTTTTAGAAATTTACAGATACCAATCATGAGACTAATGGCACTTCCCCAAAGTCTGAAAGTGATTTCTGAATACCTGTGTCTCAGAATGCACACCTACAGTAAAACTACTTGAAAGGAAAAGGCAGCCATTAGTTTTGCTCAGAGTTTCTATTCTGGTCTGGAAAAACGGCAGTACACCACATCTTCATGAGAGAAAATCAATTTTTGTGTTGTTTTTAACTCACAGTGAATTGCCTGTCTTCATCTGTAGTACATTGTAGTAGTTTATTGACAAAGAATAGGAATAGCAATTTTAAATCATACCTGTGATCTTTTTCAATAAATTAAGGCACACTATCATCTGGCAGAGTAGTCTCTGAAATTACCATTACTTATATACATATACTGTGTGTTTTTACATCTTTTCATTCCCAGTTCATTATTGTCTGAAAAACCTATCTGCATCAGAACAGGCCTTATATCAGTGAGGAAACCTTGTCTGGAATGTCTTCCTTTCAAAACCTAAAGACAAAATCTATCAAGATCACACAAAGAAATTAAAGGAAACAAAAACAAAAACAAATAAGATCTGCTCAACTAAGGATGACCCTAAATATAATTCCTCCATGTCCAGAAGAAAAATGGTCACAGCTGTCACATAGTGGGTTCCAGATGAAGGGGCAAAGAAGAGTTTAAGCATTATCTTGACTTAGGGTAGCTACAGAGACACCCACACCCATTTTCCTTTGAAAAATGAGATGTACATTACAGAATGACTCCATGTGACGGAATGAGTTGTAAAAACAGTTCAAAAGTCAATGTAGTTCTTAATTATGTTGTCCTGTTTCAGAACATGTGAGGTAAATTAAGTATAATTATGAGGAAAAGATCAGTAAGTTATTCAAAGTTACTCTTGCAAGGCAAAGAAGAATTACGGGATGGGTGTGTCATCTTCCCACATTATCTTCATATGTGGATATAAGCCTTTAAGTCCTGATTAATCATATAAAGCATGTATGACTCAAAACCAGGCAACAACTAGCACCTATACAAGTGTTGATATTTATACAATGACAAGATTTTTTGAGCAGGTAAATATACACCTGTACTGTGTGGTTAATTGAAGTAATATGTAAAAACTAAAATCCAAAATTTAAATTATTTCTGTTTTTATTGAACATTATTGTGCCTAAGTGTTTGCATAATTGTTTTTTATGAAAAAGATAAAGATGTTTCAGGAGAACTAAAGGAAGAAATGCCAGCTGCAAAACAAGAAGAGGAGAAAACTTTTGATAACTTTGAAGAAAATCAGGAATTTGTATGTAAAATTTAAATTTCTCATTTGTCTTGTTTGCTTCAATAATATTGTCATAGGCCTATATACTACGTTTTAAGCCACCTCATACATCCAACACATTAGAATTTAAAGTTAAGAGGAAAGCATTTATTCTCTTCTTATTAATGGAATATTCTTTACCTCTCATGACAGAGCAAATATGTTTATTTGGTGTTTTGTAAGTAAATGTCTCACAATTGGTGCCCCATACCAGTGAGGTTTCACCCAGCAATAGAGGGAAACAGATAAAAGACACTTAGAGAAATACTTGGCCAGTCTTAGGGAATCCTGCTGAAGAGAAGGAGGAAATACTGAAGGAGACAGATTGGTTAAGCGCATCTCAAGAAAACCCATAAAATCAAATACTCAGGCCTCATAGGAGCTCATAGAGACTGAACTGACATCCAGGGAGAATACATGGAAATGCATTAGGGCCTCTGCATATGTGTGATAGTTGGGTTGCTCTTTCTTTATGGCGATCCTAAAAGTGATAGCAGGCTTTTCTCTAACATGTTTGCTAGATTTTGGGAATCTATTCCTCAGACTTGGTTGCCTTGACCATCCTTAAAACAAGGGGAGGTCCTTAGTCTTACTGAAATTGGCTATTCTGTGTTATGTTGATGTCATAGGAAGCCTGCTCTTTTTTGAATAGAAATTGGGAAAGGTGGTGGACAGAAAATCAAAGAAAGAAAGAAAGAAACAAACAAACAAAAAACTGGTAGATCCCTATTTACAATCAATCACAATGAGGTTGAAAGTTCACATTTTTCACCAGGTCACAGGATGATTTCAAGGTCTTTGCTTGAGGAAAGAATTTGATCATGTAGTTCAATTAATATCCTATAAGAAAATATTCACTTATAGAATGCTGGCACTGTCACAAATATAAAACTAATATATATATTATATTTGCTCATTTCAAAGAAAATTAATTATTTAATTTAGTTATCCACTGTACTTAGCAGACACATTTTTAAGATGTGAGTAATGAGAAAAGATCACATAGATGCACAGCACTATACATTTCCTGGTTATACAATCTATTCAGAGAAACAACATAAAATTATTATGCTCCCTGGAGTCTCAGGATATTGTGAAGACATTTCAAAAATATTTTGAAGCTTTACAAATTTCCTTTAGTGAATATTGACTTCATGCTTGCATACTGAGCCTTGGAAAGTACACATGAGAACAGGCAAGAGCATTCACTATAGCCTTTGAACAGAGATTCAAAATTGCTCAATACAATAACTTTCAAAGTGAAAAGAGATTCATATAAAAATGATGCACAATGAGCAAGTTGGTTTTGTCTCAGAGATGCAGAGATGCTTTGAAATATACAGTCAATAGATTTAACAAAGCACAGGCATGAAATTAGAGATAAAAATCACCTAGTCTTCTCAATAGATGCAGATAAGGCCTTTGCCAAAATTCAGTATGTCTTTCTGATAATAGTCCTAGAGAGAGTAGGGTAAGAAGGGACATACGTCAATACACTAAAGGAACTCTAGTGATAAACTCTCAGCCAACATCATCCTACATGGAGAAAAATGTGAAGTCATCCCTTTGACGTCATGAATACACCAGGTTACCCACAATCCTCACTCCTGTTTAATATTGTACCCAGGAGAAGAACATTGACGGAGACAAAGAGGAAAACAGAAATCAATACTGTTTGTCTTAGTTATGGTTTCTATTGCAGGAAATATACACCATACCATTCATACTCTTATAAAGAAAACCATTTAATTGGGAGTGGATTTGAGTTTCAAAGGTTTTATCCATTATCTTCTTCTTGGAACATGACAGCATGGAGACAGACATGGCTCTGGATAAGGAGCTGACATTTGTACATTTTGACCAGCAAGCAGTAAAAGAACCTGGGCATAACTTGACCATAGGAGAACACAAAGCCATACCACAAACTGGCACACTTCCTCCAACAAGGTTATACCTACTCTAATAAGGCAACACAGACTTATAGTGACACTTCCTGTGAGTTTATGGGGTCTAATCGCATTCAAAGTAGCACAGCATTTCAAGAAATTTTCCTGATAATTGATTAGGCCTTTATTTGTTATATACACATCTTCCAAATACATTTGGGAATGTAAATTAGTACTAACAATACATAATCTAAAATAACTACTCTTGTTAATATTTCACATGAGGTCCTACACTATGAATGTGTTTATCTTCTACATTCCTCTCAAATGAAGTACCATGAGAAAGGAATTATAGATTTAACTTGACTCTATGTAATAGTTTTGCTATTAAAATACCTTTTATCATTTTCCATATATAGTTCATATATGTTCAAGTATATTTGCCATAAAATTAGGAATCCAGGTATGTTCTTGGAAATCAAATAAGACCTTTTGAAAACATGTCAATGATACTTATTTGACAGAGTGTGTCTGACCCAAATGGACTGCAGGAAGCTTCCACAGAATCCCACCAATCATCCAATATGGACAATGACACAGAAAACAATGTAACTAGTCATCTTGAGAGAGGTAAGCAGTATATTTTAAAATATACTTGCTATATAAAATGTATGTGTGCCAACTAAATATATTGTAAGCAAAATGGCACGTAGAAAGGTATTAACAACTGTGGGGAATCATGGGACTGACCCAGAAACCCTGAATGTGGGTGTCATGAGGAGGCCTCGGTAATCTATGGGGCCTTGGGAAGTATTTATCCCAGGCATACAAATAGACTTTGGATGCCCATCCCACAATGAGGAATGCTCTCAGCCTGAACTCTTGAAAGAGGGCCTAGGCCCTGCCCTGGATGACATGACAGACTCTGGAGATCCACCAAGGAGGGCCTCTCTCTCCCCGGGTATCAGAGTGTATATTGGATGGGGGGCTGGGGGGCCTGGTAGGGAGAGATGGGGAGGAGGGGAGGGAGAGGGAACTGGGAATGACACGTGAAACAAACTTGTTTCTAAGTTAAATTTTAAAAAGCAAGAGAAAAAAATAAAGTTACTAATAAACAAACTGTAAAAAATCTGAGCACCAGGTAGGATTTAGTCAGTCACTCAAGGACTCCTTCCTCTCACATGTCTCAGATGTCCATATTTAATTAGCACTAGCTTTAGAAATATTGAGATCAGTCAGAATATGTAGTGATAGGGACTCCCACAAAGCAGGAACTCCCTCCCAGACTCCTGGTGATGCAAAATCCACACCCAAACATCTGTGTTCACAGAGAGGTCCTTTATAAAGCAGGGAGGAAATGTTAAATATTTCCACTATAGTTTATACTTAATTGAAATTATACCACAGGATAACAAAAATAAATATTTTCTCCTCCCTAATTTGTATTCACTACATCAATGGATAGATTTTTCTTTTTTAACCTAAATGCTCACTGTACATTTCTTACTGAAATATGGGTACTTCCTGACAGAGTCTGCCATGGAAGACCAAAGGCATACCTCAGAACAGCAGGGACAGAACAATGGTAGAAAGAATAAGCAGACATTTGTAAGTAAATACTGAAATTTACATTACACACTTCATGCAGTTTCCACAATAATGTTCCACGGGTTAAATAATGTCACATTTAATATAACTTTTAGAATTAGTACACAATATATATATATATATATATACTTTTTAAAAAATCACCAATGTTATTTCTTTCTTTGATGTACATTGAACACTGCCTCCCTGTAAATCACTCTAGTACTCATCAAAATTCTTCCTCTTGGTTTAATGTTTCATAAAAAATTATTAGTAGCCCACTGGATCCCGTTAGGCCCAACCATCTGTGAATGTGTGTAAAGACACTTACTAGGACAGGAGCAACCTGCCAGCAGTCTCAAACCCACAGATAAACTAGTCTCCTCTCTCAAACCATCAGTTGTTAATTGCTCCTCAGCTAGTGCTGGGGACATGGGGGATGCTTGCTCATCCCTGCTGGCATCTTGACTGTCTCCATCTTGTGCAAGTCTAGTGTAAGACACACAATTGCTTTGAGTTGATGTGTGTATTGGTTGTGTCCTATCCCATAAGAGCATTGCAATGTACTTCTCTCCAGATTCACTCTCTTTTTTTATAATAATTTTTAAATTTAAATTAGAAACAAGGTTGCTTCACATATCAATTCCAGGTCCTTCTCCTTTCCCTGCCGTCCTCCTATGCCCTTCCATAACCCCCCCCCAATATCTCCTCATTTCCCCAGGAAAGGTGAGGCCCTCCATGGGGTGTCCATAGTCTGTCATTTCATCCAGGGCAGGGCCTAGACCCTCCCCCAAGAGTTCAGGGTGAGAGTGCATCTCTCATTGTTGGATGGGCACCCAAAGTCCATTTGTATACCCGGGATAAACACTGATCTACTACCCAAGGCCCAATAGATTTCTCAGGCCTCCTCACTGACACCCACATTCACGGGGTCTTGATCAGTCCCATGCTGGATTCCCAGCCATCAATCTGGGATTCAAGAGCTAACGCTTGTCAGGTCAGCTGTTTCTGGGGGTTAAACCAGCCCAGTCCTAACCCCTTTGCTCCTCAGTCCTCTATCTCTGTCACTGGATTCCTTGAGTTCAGCTCAGTGTTTAGCTGTGGGAGTCTGCCTCTGCTTCCATCAGACATTGAATGAAGGTTCTGTTTTCCATACTCTCTGGTCATGGGATTGTAGGCTGGCATACCCCAGATCTATGTCTAAAATCCATACATGAGAGAGTACATGCCATGTTTCTCTTTTTGTGACTGGGTTACCTCACTCAGGATGGTTTCATCTAATGCCATCAATTTGCCTGCAAATTTCAGGATTCCATTGTTTTTTTCTGCTGAATAGTATTCCATTGTGTAAATGTACCACATTTTCTCTATCCACTCTTTGGTTGAGGGTCATCTAGGTTGCTTCCAAGTTCTGGCTATTACATATAATGCTGCTATGAATATAGTGGACGTCATTGTTGTATGAATGTGCATCTTTTGAGTATATGCCTGAGTAGAATTTTTGGGTCTTTTGGCAGACTGATT